TCTCGGATATAGCTGGGGGGGGTGTTTTTTTTTTTTCTTAACTCCCAAAACCTTGGAACTTTTTTTTTCATTTACTCCATCCCCCTAGGGCATCCATGCTTCCTGTTTATATTGGGCAACTACGCTAAGTAAGCTTCTCGTTTTCACCTTTTTCCATGTTGAAACTCTGAAAAATCTCCCCCAACCCTGGGCAAATCCCTAGCCCAGTTGCTTCCGAGATGCTAGGGGACCCCAGCAGGAGGGGCCCGGCCCCCCTGGACCCCCAGCCGGGGTTTTACTCACCCTCCCCAGGGCCCAGGCCTCTTCTTTCCCAGGACCCGGAAAATTTGGGCCAGGAGACATTGGGGCCCGGGAAAGTGTGCCAAACCCAAGAGCCAAAAAAGAAAAGTTATTTTCTTGGGTGGGGGGCGGGGCCCGGGGGGGGAAAGAGGATGGAGCCCCTCCCCCGCCTCGGGTTGGGTTGTCCGGGCCGGGGGAAGGGGGAGAAAGGGGGAAGGAACCTGGGGGGGGGGGGGTGAAGGGGGGCAATGCCTGAGTCCTGGTGGTTAACTGTTAAGAGCTTGGAGATCCCCCAAGGAGTCAGGCAGGAGGAAGAGGGAGGAGAAGGTCAAGATGGAGTCACGCCATCCTTCCAGGTGGGGCCAGCACGTGGCCCTCTGGCTGACTCTCCCAGCCCCGGGCTGAAAAGGCCTCACCCAGGATCAGCCATGCTGCCCAGAAGCGGGAAGGAAGGTCCACAGTGGCCTTCACCACAGCAGAGGGGTGGTCCCCGGCTCTTCATCTCAGGAGGGGCCGGGCCCCTCTAGGGACTAAGAACACATCCAGGGGATGGGGAGGAGACCAATTTGTCTGTTTTTTATTTTTGGGGTGTTTTTTTTTTTAGGTGTTTAAGGGGGATGCATGTCAGAAATAACTTGGGTGAAGTGCCCTCCCACCCCACCCCGCCCCACACCTCCCCCGCCCAAGGAGCCAGAGCACAGGCAAAGGGTGGAGTCCCAGCTCTGGGACCCTGGTCTGGTCTTCCTCCCCCAGCCCTAACTTTATCTAAGAGGCCCAGGCATCAACAAAGGAAGAGGCTCTGCCTCCGGGGCCCACCCTCTGCCCTGGAGGCCAGTGGGAAGAGATGAAATGAATGGCATCCCCAGCCCCAGGCATGGCCCTCACTACAACAGCCACCAAAACCTACAGGTCTTCCTCACAGGGCCCATGTAGGCCCACCTGTGTCTCTCCTGCCCCCTCCCCTCGTTGCTGGTTCTCTAACCCACATTCCAGCTGTAACCCCTCCCCAGGCCCTAGCCCAGTCTCTGGACTTTGTCCCACCCCAGCAGGCAGAGCAGTAAAGACCTGGATTCAGTTCTTGCCCGGCCCACCAGGGCCTTGGCATCCAGGCCAAGAAGCCAGTTGGATCAAAGGTGCAGGGTAAAGTACATGAGTGTTCACATGCCACACACATACATGCACACACAAGGCCTCTGCGGTGGCTGCCCTCCCCTATCCTCTAGGAGGCCCTGGGGTCGGGGAGAGTCCTGCTCTTTTTGTACTTCATTCCAGAAGCCAGGCATCTAGAAGTTCCAGGAAACAGGAGCTCAGGGGCATATGGGATTTAGGCAGACTCCTCAGAGGAGAGACGGAATGAGGAAGGGTTCTTCGGGGTTTCCTTCCGAGTGACCCCAAAGTTGGCCTGTACACTCTGAAACAGGACAACCAGGGAGCCGGGGGGAACTTTCCTAAGCTCAGAGCAGGATCTGGGCCAGATGAAGA